CACCAGGGAAGAACAGCCAGAAGCCTGAGCATCCTTTGAACTCGGATCCCTGTGCTGAGAGACTCCTGGAACCAGGAGACAGAGAGAGAGACAGCTGTCACCCTGAAGACAGTGAGAAGCAGTGGCAGGAGAGGCCTGACAGCAGGAGACAGCTTGGTGGGCTTCCCAGCCCGTGGAGAGAGAAAGTTGAGTGCCTTTGGGCAGAATCCTAGGGTCAGGGAGAGGTGTACCTGGGAGCACAGCTGGCAAGAGGCTGTCCCAATGAAAAAACTGTATCCTGAGTGTTCCTGAGCCATTTTTATACTCACGGTCTTAGTATCTAAAGTAGTTCTCTAGAGTGGCAAAACCAGTGAAGTATATACAGATATATATGCAGAGAAATTTACTTCAAGGAAATGGCTCATGCAGTTGTGAGGAAATGGCCCACAAAATTGTGGGGGCTAACAAGTCCCAAATCCGTAGGTCAGGCAGCAGACTGAAAGCTTCTTGCATCCCAAGAACTGGAGGTCTAGTGATAAGAAAAAGTACAGAAATGAAAGATAGTGAGCTTTGCCAGAACATCCATTTATATCATGAATGCAGACCACATGCCCGAGGAAATTCCTCTTCCAACTGATTGGCTGCTCACATCAGATCACAAAATGGAAGGTGATCCCATAGTGTCTGCCAGACCACTGAGAATAATAGCCTAGCCTGGTTGACACATAACATTAACCATCACACTCACAATCAATTACTCAACCCAAAACCACTGCCATCAAGTCAATTTCGACTCCTAGCGACCCTATAGGACAGAGTAGAGCTGCCCCATAGGGTTTCCAAGCCTCTAATCTTTACAGAAGCAGACTGCCACATATCTCTCCCCGGGAGGGGCTGGTGGATTAAAACCGCTGACCTTTCCGTTAGCAGCCAGCACTTAACCACTGTGCCACCAGGGCTTCTTGATCAGTTACTTAGGATGTTTAATTTTGTGGTGATTAATCAAAACATTAAAGATTCAATTTTAAAAGTCCAGAATTTACATCAAAATCCATATTTATATTAAAATCTGTAATCTGTTAAATTTAATCGCATGCAAACCTCTCAAAATATATATTTAATTATATTTAAGATAGTCTAAACAACACTGAAATAGAGAATTGGAAATCAGATATATCACTGAAAAGTGATATATTCGTATGGTATATGGAGAGGTGTCCAGGTGTCAAGTTGACAAGGAGTGAATTATGATTAAGGTTGTGCATCAACTTGGCTGGGCCATGATTCCCAGTGGTTTGGCAGTTATGTAATGATTTAGTTATCCTCCATTTTGTGATATAATTTAATCACCTCCATGATGTGATCTGATGTGATCAGCCGATCAGTTGTAAGGGGAGTTTCCTCGGGAGTGTAGCCTGCATCCAATATATATGGATGTTCTGGAGTAGCTGAGTGGCTTTTGCTGGTTCTGGATTTTGCATCCGGCTCATCATCATCTGACCTCCAACTCTTGGGACTTGAGCCAGCACCCTGCCGAATTGCCTGCCGATCTTGGGATTCATCAGCCTCTGCAGCCCGTAGGCCACCAGCCTGCCATGTGACCTGCTGATCTTGGGTTTGTCGGCCCCTGCAGCTATGTGAGTCAGGAGAGGCCTCCAGCCTGATGCCTGACCCACAGACTTGGAACCTGCCAGCCTCTACCACCATGTGAGCCATTTCCTTGAGATAAATCTCTCTCTCTCTCTACATATATACATATTATATATATATATATATATATATATGCTTATTCGCTTCACTGGTTTTGCTTCTCTAGAGAACCCAGCCTAAGACATTTGTTCATCTACCAACTTCTCAGCTAACTTTGTAACTTGAAAATAGCTTAGATTTTTCAGTTAAATATATGCTCAGATGATGAAAAAATTTAAGAATGGGTAAGGATGATGGCTGAACAATGTGATGAACATAACTGATGTTACTGAACTATACATGTGAAGATTGTTGAAATGACAAATAGTTTGTTACATATATAGTTACCACTTCATACGTGTGTGTGTGAATATATATATATATAGTCACAGACAAAGAAAGAAAAGCCAGTTCTCAGAATTGGGAATAATGGGACCAGCATCATATAAAAGACAGTAGTGTTAGGGAATGCCAATTTAATCAAACAGATTTCTGAAGTTCAATTGCTCAGAAGTATGCCAGTTTAATTCAGTGAAGAGACAGAACTGAGAAATAGGAATTTGATAATCTTACTAGCTTTTTTATTGAAAAATAAATTAATTAGTGATCTAAGTAGGTGTATCTGGCAGGGTTCAGTTACAAAGAACTGAATTACTCTAAACAGTTTAAGCAGAGAGAGTTTTATTACAAGTATTAAATGGTTTCCAAAATAATTGAGAGTTAACAGCCTCCAGGGTGATCTTTTGAGATTTCAACTCTTAAAAGTCGTACTCTAGAACCAAGCCACAAAAGGAGAAGTTGATGTCTTGTAAAAGCAGGATGCCACTAGCTCCAGAAGCATACTCCACTGCCACAGTTAGGAAGCCACCATAATTAGGACGCCACCACCTTCAGGAAGCATCCATTCTCTGGAGGCCTCTGCTATTGTTGCCAGTTCCGGAATCCCACCGTGCCTGCTATGATTTGCACCAGCAAAATGAATGTTCTCTGCCCTGCTTTTCAACTCCCATAAAGCTAGTGGATAGACAATGAGACATTTATTAATGGTGCCACAGGGTGAGGGGAGGCAGTAATGACCCCAATAATAATGCTTGCCAACAGAAAAACAAAGTGGCAAAACTCAGCCTCCATCTCACTTCTACTTTCAAATCTTATGCACATGCATCTGATTGACTGAACCTAAAACATACCCAGAAACCTAACTGCAAGGGAATCTTTAAAATATGATTTTAAGCGTCCCATCGTCTTCAGTACAGAAAGACACACTAGAATGTGAATAAAATGGACATTGAGCACTAAACTACCATATCCCGTTGGTTACTCAACATCCACACACACCCATTTCCACATTCAACAATTCCCCAAAAGCAACAATTAGTGCAATAATGTTCCATACTGACAAAATGCAGATATCTCTTTTACAAATGAAAATGTACTCACCCTCACCCAAAAGACAGCCAAAGAAGGCTCATTAGTCAGTCCATCTCAGGTTGAAAGTCCATTCCTTTTCTAATGAAATACATTAGAAAGTTAGAGACTTCAGCTGAATTACTTTGGACACGTCATCAAGAAAGACCAATCGCTAGAAAAGGACATCATGTTTGCTAGAGGGCCAATGAATTACGGAAACCCCTCCGTGAGATGGATTGACACAATAGTTACAACAATGGATTCAAATATACCAACGCTCATGAAAATGGTACAGGATCAGGCCATGTTATACACAAGGTTGCTAAGAGTCAGAGCTGACTTGATATCAACTAATAACAGCAACAATGTACAAAATAGTACAAGGAAGGAAATATGGCTATGAGTCCGAATCAACTTGATGGCAACAGGTTTTTTTTTTTTACTACAGTCTTCATTTCACAAAACTGCAGTTGTAATTTACAACTTTCTTCCTCGTCTACCTATTTTTTTGTTCCTTTGCCTTCCCCCAGCACTTATGCTGGTTGTGGCCCTTAATATGGCATAGCGACTCCAATGTTCATTCCTGAGAGATCAGAGCTTGTAATGACTTCTACAGCCATAGCTGGAAATGGCAGCCCTAGTGATGCTCCAGAATATCTCCACATTCCAGATTCCTTGCTGTCCACATTGTGTTGCAGTAACCTTAACTGCAGAAGCTCTGGGAAATGTGGTGTATGGCTCTCTAGCCTCTACAGGAGACAAAGCAGTTGAAGGAGGATGGAATGGTACAGTAACCCACTATTTTCACCACAGTAAGGAAGGAAAGAAAAAAGAAAGTATTCTTTTATGTACTTACGTATGGTTAATTTCTAGTGTCTGAACAAGGTTAAACCTTAGCTACACAGAGGCAGTTACTGGATCTCACAAAGAGATCAGGTTTGGCATGACACCAGCCACCATGAGCTCATAATCTTTCAACGCACAAACTGCTTTGACAGAAAGCTGTTCCATTCTGCCTTCCTCCCATATCCTAGCAATGCTATTTCTCTATATTTAAACCACTCCCAAGCTTCATGAGTGTTCTGTCTCCTTTTCTTCACTAAACTGATACAGCTTGTGAGATTTGCATAAATGTGGAGCCCAGGAGGAAATATCGTTCACCCCTCTTTCTCAGATAATTCATTCAAAGCTTCATAGGTAAATGGTTCTGATGACCTATGAAAGAACACTTCTTCCGTTTCCTTAAATGATTCTTCCTTAATGTCAGGATGTATTTTTAGCTCTTTCCCAGCAATTCACACTACCAAGCTAAGGTAGCATCACACAGATGCTAATTTTGGACTCATTAGTAGGGTCTGTTAGTAGAACCCTGGTAGTGCAGTAGTTAACCACTGGGCTGCTAACTGGAAGGTTGGCGGTTGGACTGCTCTGCGGGGGAAAGATGTGACAGTCTGCTTCCATAAGGACTTACAGTTTTGGAAACCCTGTAGGGCAATTCTACTTTGTCCTATAACGTCATTATGAGTCAGAATCAACTCAATGGCAATGGATTTTTTTGGTAGTAGGCAGTTAGGACCTCTCGTGGCTCAATGGTTAAACTCTCAGCTAGTAACCAAAAGTTTGGCAGTTGGAACACACCAGTCCCTCCTGGGGAGAAAGATGTGGCACTTGGCTTCCGTAAAGATTACAGACTTGGAAACCCTGTGGGGCAGTTCTACTCTGTCCTACGGGGTTGCTGTAAGTCGTAATCAACTCCACGGCAACAGGTAGTAGGATATATTAAATGAATGGTATAGGAGTGATTTCTTCCCAGAGGGAGCTTGATGATCAACATTCACTCCACACACACCCCCCAAAAAAAAGTTCAACTAAGCACAGGGGAAAGTGTATAATTAATCTGTCATGTGATAATTTGTTGTCAGGTTGGTTACCGGAAAGATATGGAAGAAGAAGGAGCAGTAGAAACGGTTAAAACCAGGGGGAATGAGTCATCCATCATCCTGACAGGATTAGAAGGAAATACGTTGTATCACTTCACAGTGAGGGCTTACAATGGAGCTGGATATGGGCCGCCTAGCAGTGAAGTGAGTGCAACCACCAAGAAATCCCGTAAGTGACCTGGGTTTTTTGTTTGTTTCAAACAAAAGGGAAACATCTTTTAACATTTCTGAAAGCCATCTGAGTCCCATAATAAGTAGAGTGGAAGGGGAGTTTTGATTCATAGTCTTGCTTCAGTGCTTAGATCTGAATTCCAAAACTAGCTCAAAAAATTTTGCATTCACAGTAGATAAAGGTTATCGTCCTGTGAAACAAGTCTAAGTGATTTTTGACACAGAAGGGAGATAAAAGGATTCAGGTTCAAAAGCTCAGTAGAGAAGCTATTAAAATGACACTCCTAGAGCAAAACCCTCCTTATCTGACTCCAGCTGGAAGGAAGCCTATGGTGCTAGCCAACACTGAACACAAGAAGAGATTGAAATACTTGCAGAGATTAAAATGAAGAAGTGTATTTCAAAATCGTTGTCAGTTCACTTTCACTTTTTATGTTTCAGCCCCTAGTCAAGCACCGAGCAACCTCAGGTGGGAGCAACAAGGCTCTCAGGTTTCTCTGGGTTGGGAACCTGTCAGACCATTAGCCAACGAATCTGAAGTCATGGGATACAAGGTCAGTGTTTCTCCACTCTATCGCATAGACACTCATCAAGAAAATTGTTACGGGGAGGATGCATAATTAATAAGGCATAATGAGATCCATTGACAGATCTTCCTTCTGTTTTTTTCTCAGTCATTTTTCTGTCTATATCTTAGAAAGAGAGACTTCCTGCAGGTGGGAAAGCCAAGACAGTCAAAATCAGTTTCAACTGCACAAGGCATGGGAAGGGAATGGATCGGAAAAGCAACAAGAATCTGAGTATAGTATGAAGATGACTCCATAAAGCATGGTGTCAAGACCAGCAGAGCTTAGGCAGACAACCATGGCATTCCCTTCCAGCAGACAAACTTGGCTAGCAGATGGCAAAGACTGGACAATGTAGTTTAAGTAGAAAGACTCTCTATTAGCAAAATTGCAGAAGAAAAACACTAGGATCGGCATTAAAAAAAAAAAAAAAAGTTCCTGTTGTGTAGATTCCCTCTCATGGCAATCCCATGTGTTTCAGGGTAGAACTATGCTCCATGGGGTTTTCAATGGCTATGACCTTTCAGAGGTAGATCACCAGGCCTTTCTTCTGAGGCACCTCTGGGTGGATTCAAATCATCAAGCTTTTGGTTAGTAGCCAAGAGCAGGACCAGCATACTAGGTAGTAGAGAATCCACGGAGAGAGTCAGCAAGATCCAAAAATAAACCCAAATCTTACATATAGTCATCCTGCCATGTTCCAACAACAGCTCTGAGAATATTTTTACACAGTTTGTTTTTGAAAAACAACTGTTTCTCTGATTTTCAAGTGTACATGTTGTATGTATTGAATTGGCTGAGTTTCAAATTCTTGTTCTATAATGTTTGATTCCATTACTACCTTAAACTCCACACAGAAATTATTAGTTGAATATTATTGTTAGTAGGATTTTAAATATTTCAATAATATTTAGATTAAAACGTATCATTATAGGTGGGTTTTCAACTATCAGAGACAGTAACATAGCACTTTGTATCTAAAGTACTAAAATTCTGAAGCTGAAAACTGAAGAAGTAATAAATAGAATATATGTTTTAAGGTGATTCCTAGTAGGAATATTTTAAGACGCAAACTGCAGCATTTCTTATATACTGCAATTAGTTTGGATCAGACACCCCTGTGTCACACGCACCTTCTTGCTTAGGGAAGAATCAATAGCCTGGTTCCTCTTAGTTGTCTAAAGTTATGACATGTAGGCACACATTACCGGAGGATTTTTTTTTTTTTTTTTTTTTTGATTGACTTGAAATTGCTGCATCTCCTTATATCCATTAGAAGGAAGAACTGGTTCCAGAGAAAGGAATCTGCTAAAGGCAGGGGACCTCAGAGCCTTCTCTCTTGCAGTTAAACCTCATCAGACCCTTTGATGGACAGGCTGACACTCAACAGGAGACCTACTGCAAAAATGGACATAAAGGGCTCCATAAGGGACAGGGAGCTCTAGACTGATGACGTGGACTTAACACAGGGCCTGGGTTTCACAGGGCAGGTAGCTAAGTATGAAAGCCGTTCCTGATACACGCAAAATGAGGCAAGAATGTGATCAGAAACAATGGCTGAGAATCTGAATACAAACTAAAGAGATGTAGAACATTAGCATGGAATCCCTTTTTTATGAGTGTAACTTTGAGAAGAACTACTGCAGCCCTGCCAAGAATCTGCATTGACTCCAGTAGTTAAAGAGCTGTAATATCTAAACGGAAGCTCATCCCGTGTAGAATGACCAGGGCTAGGCATGATGCTGGGAAGAAGAAGACCTCTTCTTTGATTCCTACTACATGTCAAGAAACTACTACCAGGTCAACAGTGGCACCAGTGTAATAGTGGGCCACCTCTTCTTAAACACAACAGTGTGTGGCAGTCACAAAAGAGTAACCAAAGTAGGGGCATGTCAGCACACTGATCATTTGTCTTTCCACAAAGTAGTATGAGGCAGGCCTGCCCTGTTTAGATCAAGTTAGCCCCTGGGGTTCTTGGAAAATTTAAGGTGAGGGATTTCCTGTGGATCAGAGTAAAAGAGAGCTTCCACAATTAACTGGGATATCCAAAGAGAGATAACTTTATTTTCACTCTTTGTCTTTGCCAAGCTACTTTACTTATACAAGCAACAGGATTCACTGGAAATGTAAGTGGTATGTAGGTTTGAGGCTGAAACCTTGGTGCCTGAGATTTAAAATGCCGGGATTGTGTATTCCACCGTTTGCATTAAGTTCAGTCTAAGGTTGATGAGGAGTCCCTGGGTGGTGTAAACAATTAACACACTCAGCTGCTAAACAAAAGGTTGGAGGTTCGAGTCGACCCAGAGTTTCCTTAGAAGAAAAGTCTGGTGAGCTACAGCTGAAAAATCAGCCATTGAAAACCTATGTAGCACACATAGGGTCACTATGAGTTGGAGTCAACTCCACAGCAACTGGTAAGTTTGATGAACTCAGAAAAGTCCTCATCTAGAAGTTTTCCAGATTGTGAAAACGATTGAAAAATAATAAACATGGAAGAAAAATGGATTCATTCCGTAGGCTTCATCTATGAACAATCCACTAATCCCTTCATTTTTATAGTTAAGATACTATCTACAGGATACAATTCATTCTCAAATAGTAGACCACAAAAATAGCTCGTGTTAGCCTAATAAGATAAAACAGCAGAATTTGAGATTTGACCAATCCATTTTCTAAGACAGCACAGATCTTACTTCTCTTACTTGATTTCAGAGATTGGAGTATCAGCAATATGTATAACTACAATATATTACCAGAGAAAGATATAATGGTAAGAGAAATTTTGTCCAAAGATGTTAGGAGGGAAAGGGAGATTTTCCCCAACAGGGAATCTGATAAGCACCCTCAAAAGGATCCAAAAGTACAGGAAAAGAAGGATGGAATTGGGTTACATACATTGTGTCATAAGTAAAACATTACAACTGAATCTATTCAGATAAACAGTAAGCATTATCTAACGGTGAAATTTCTTACTGCTTTGTTGTTGATACTGTCCAAGACATCCTGTACTCCTTGGAATTTTGTTTAAGTCCAGATTTAATAGTAATAATGTCAAGACACCACAGTTTCAAATAAAAAATAAGAGAAACAGAAGTATGAAGAATCAGGAAAACGCTGGAAAAGGTTTTTTGCTTGTAGATGGTTTATCTCTGGTAGACATGGCTACAATTTATTCCCTCTCAAACAAAATAACTTTCCATTTTAGAAGTTAAATGAAACTTGGCAATTCATTTAACTTATATATGACTTCTTGAAGTTAATTAATATATACCACTTTGTTTATGTCTTTTTACATTTCCCAGTTCAGAATCAGGTGTACATTTTATTAACACATTATTTATAAATGATCAGGAAAATGGAACAAAAAACTTAAATAAGAGATTTTCTACTTCACTTATTTTTCCCAAATAAATGCTTTTTAAGTGAAGAAAACTCTTTATTTTTATAAATTTCCTAGTTTGGGGTCTGTATTTCAAGTCCTTACTAATTTTATCATATTATATGTCTAATCATTCATTACTAGAGTTCTTGAAGAAATACCAGTTATAAAACTAGGAAAACTAAAGTATACGTAGCCATAATTCTTTTTTTCTTAATGATCTTGAGACTGGAGAAAAATTGTTTTTCTTTACACTGTGAATTTAAACAGCCTCTGGTGGCACAACGGTTAAAGCACTCGGCTGCTAACCGAAAGGTCAGTGGTTCGAACCCACCAGCCACTCTGTGGGAGAAAGATGTGACAGTCTGCTTCCATAAAGATTTACAACCTATCTGTCCTTTAGGGTTGCTGTGAGTCGGAATTGACCTCAACGGGTTTGGTTTGGTTTATCCCCACCTCGTACGGACTATGCCTGAGTGAAAGGGAAAATATATACTAAATGTTTCACTTGTGCAAGTATCTACTCGCCCCCACCAAGAGAAACTTTTGTACATTCAGAAAAGGCACAAGCGGTCAGAAGGAATTCAGGACAAGGGACTCAGGCTACATACAAAGAAAACACAGTCTTGTTTTTCTTCTCTGCTTCTAGAATTATATCCTTTCCTAGACTGGCACAAAGGTTAAACGCTTGGCTGCTAACCAAGAGCTTAGCCATTAGAACCCACCAGCGGCTCCACGGGACAAAGACCTGGCAATCTGCTCACATAAAGATTACAACCTAGAAAACCCTGTGGGGTAGTTCTGTTGTCTCACATCGGGTCATTAAGGGTCAAAATATGAGACTCAGCTTTTTCCCTGTGATTCCTGGAAATTAAAAAGACTCACATATAATGGCTTAAACTGGGTGTTATGGTTGTGTTGTTGTTGTTGTTAGCTGCCCTCAAGTCAGCCCTGAGCTCATGGTGACCCTGTGCATAACAGAAGAAAATGCGAGGTGCAGCCACCTGTGGGGTCACGGGTACATGAGATTTATTACACTATCCTCTTCACAGTTGATTATTTTTGAAGTTTTTCATAATAAATTTTTTAAACAACAGAAATGGGTCATACATGTTGAGTATTTACAAGAAGCAGACTTATGGAAATCTTTGGTGGAGGGGGAGAGGTATGCACAGAGAAAGATTAAATAGAACATCATACAAGCAAACATCTGAAAATTGCCCATAAGGCAGTCCTGTTCTTGAAAGTCCTGCCAGTCACCCTACTGCCAGTGGCTTCTCATTGCTAGATAACCCCGAGTGCTTCCCAGTTTTTGTTCATTTTGCTGACACCTCCTCACCCACTCCAATGCCACTGGGGCTTCAGAGACCTTACACTTTTCTTGAAGAGCAGTTGTCCCCATTTACTATTCCCAAGATGCTCCAGTGGTGAAAAGATCTTTCTTTTATAGGATCCATCCTTCTCAAGAGTATTTGCGGGTATAACCACCAAAACTAATTCCGTTATATTCTCAAGGACAGTCATCTCATTCTGTTGTGTTACTGTCACACGATAGGCTCAAGCATAGCAACGATTGTGAGGATGATGCAGGACCAGGCAGCGTCATGCTGTTGTACATAGGGTCGCTATGAGTAGGAGCTGACTCGATGGGACTTAACAGCATCACACATATAGAAGAGTCATTTCAAGATCATGCCTTTTATAACAGTAGAACCACATTTTTTTTTTAAGGATCGTCTCTTTGAATAACCCATTGCTCTAAGTTTTTTAAAAAAGAATTTTAGAATAGTCTTGACAATACATTTAGACAAATTCTTTTATGCCTGAAGATAGCTGTCATCACAACTGCCAATCTATAAACGTCCAGATTCTAAATATATTCCCTGACCTCCTTACTGTCAGTAACTATTTTTGACATGTCTTGACAGCACCTTAACCTTCTCATATTGCGCATTCTTATCCATATTTTCTAAATCAGAATTTTTAATGAGCCAAGATTCTCTAAAGCACCTAAGACCAATCATTAATTTAATGTATCTTATCATTTACTAGTATACCTACTTACCAACTCACAGCACTACATTTCCCTGGATATATTGGTAAAAGCCACATTTAATCTCAAACTCCTTTTGGTACCATTAACTGATCTTTTTCCTGCTTTTACCTTTTGTTATTAAATCTCAACCGATCCACAAATTTCTCTTCAACTCTGGGTTTTACAGCAACATTAGATATGCATTGCTGGCTGCGTTTTTTTTTTTTTTTTTTGTCATAAGAATTGTAATTTATTGAACAGTAAATAGTCACTCCCCTGCCAATCCTCACCAATTTACATACTTTCCCATTCCCATAAATTTTCTTTCTAATTACCTCATGTGGATGATCAGAATTCTAATTCATTGCACTGCTACAGTCAAAATCAGAGGCATAAATTCTGATACATTTGTGATTTTTTTAAGCCAAAAGAACCTGCCATAGGATTCTTCCAGGAAGTCTTACTGATTCCCCAAATCTTGGCTAAGTATCCCCCTCTGTGTGCTGCTATAGCACTAAATATGTACCCTATTGCAGTAATATCGCATTACTTATTGTAATACTTATTGTATTACTTATCTGTCTCCAGGATTAGACTGTAAGTGCCATGAGGGCAAGAACCATGTGGTCTTGTTCTCTGATGAATCAGCAGTATAAAGCACTATGCCTGACCCATATGAGATGCCTAATACATATTTAGGATGTTCTTATCACTTTAAATTACATTGAGGCTGTGGTATCCTTCCCAGTAAGGATTTCAGTACATACAATTACTGTGCATGTCATAGTTTTATAGAGAAGTCACTTCTCTCGCAAGAGCCTGAAGGAAATTTAAATTTATGAAAGACGAACAAAGTAAGATGGAGGACACACACGTTATCAGAATGCAGAGGGGAGGATCGGGTACAGGCAGGATTCAATATATGAAAAGACTACTTTTCTAAAGTATTTACTTTTTTATTTATTTTTTGTATGTAGGTTAGTTCAAGCTCAAAATACATTTTCCATAAGAAAAAAATTATAATTTTTTTTAATTTCCCAAGCTAGTCCATCTTTTATTATGCAACTGAAATACTGACCCATTGACAATGAACAATGATGGCAGCAAAAGAAGTAGCTGTCTCTTATTACACTTATCACGCACCAAGTCCTGTGCTAGGTATTTTACATACATTCTGTCATTTCATTCTCTTAACAAAACCATAAAGTAGGTATTATTATCTTCACTGTATGAAAGAGAGACCTGAGACTTAGAAAAGCTAGTCACTTGCCCAAGCTTGCCCTTCCACAGCACCTTATATATACTTCCATTGTTGTATATACCACATGCATTTAATTTACTTACATATCTCTATAAGCTGTGAGCATCTCATGCTTAGCTCAGAATCTAACATGCAGTAGGTAGTTAATAAACATTTGGAATCCTGAATTGTTAAATGTTTAAACTTCTGTTATTACTTGTAGGTTTTTTATACGCAAGAGGGTCACAGCAACAGTGAAGTCATTGAAACACAGAAACCTCAAGCAGTAGTACCACTCCCTGATGCAGGAGTATACATTATTGAAGTTCGAGCCTACAGTGAAGGAGGGGATGGAACAGCTAGTTCCCAAATCAGAGTACCATCCTATTCAGGTAAGTCGTGACATAAGAGGCCCAATTCGATGACCGTCAATGATACGAAGATTGTGTAAACCTCATGACAACTGAGGGGATGGATTGCCTGGTTCAGAAATTTTGAAAGGTTTCTCTTTATACTCTGATTTCTTTATTATCCTCGGACTAACTACTACTAGACCGGGAACTAGCGTTTCCACATCAGAAAATGATATGATATGGATACATATACTAGTTAGGAAAGTATTAGGTAAATTTTCATTAAAAGATTTTTGAAGATGAATTTAATCAGCAGGTAGTTATGAGCATTAATTACCTGTTGAGCCATCATCCCCAAGTAGAACTGCCAACCTAAAGGGAAGTCTCCAGTGATATCCTGTAGGGCTCTGTATACAGCCCTGTCTTATTCAAACTATGAATCACTTGGACTAAAACCCAGAGGCATTGTTTATGAATATTTTGATGCACAAAGTGAGATGGAAAGCAAATAAAGAGAAGAATATGATAGACTGAAATTTTGAGGAAAATCTATTGGCATAGTAATTGATAAATTGTAAATTCTTCAATTAAAAACACAAGATGAGATAAAGGACATTATTAGGACCATTAGTGAAATTTGAATAACGTGTGTAGATTAGATAATACTATTATATCAACATTAATTTCCTGATTTTTGAAAATGTTAATGGGGTTATATAAGAAAATGTTCTTATTTGTAAGAAACACATTGAAGTATATAGGGGTAAATGGACATAAAGTCTGCAACTTACTTTCAAAAGTTTCAGGAAAATACATGCTTTTAGAGAGAAAGAATAGTAAAGGTAGAGTGATAAAATGTTAACATATGGGAAATCTGAGTGAATTCCTTCTTCTTACAACTTTTTGGTACATCTAAAATCATTTCAAAACGAAAAGCAAAGAACAAAACGTAAGATGGGGGAATTCTAACTTTAAAAAAAAATTCAGGTAAAAAGAAGTAAGGATTTAAATATGTGTGGCTGCATAAAAGCTTAATACACTTTATGATTCATTTAGAAAAGTATAGTTTCAAGAACAAGAAAGATAGTAATGTCTCTACACTTCTTAGTGCACAGCTAAACTGATCAGATATGGATATTAAATTTTCCAGAGCATCTTGAGACTAAAGATTATTTGTGAAAAGTGAACAAGATGATGGCTCTCCTCTTTGCTTGCTTCATACGTCTCAAATTTCTAATAATAGTAATAATAATAATAATAATACAGCCAACTATACTAAGCACTGATCAAGTTCCTGGCATAACTCTAGGTGTTTTGCATATATTATCTCATTTCATCCTTCCAGCAACCCTATGAGTTAGGTACTTTATTATCCTCAGACCCTTTAAGGTTCCTTTCAACACCATCAGATTGTAAAGTATCATCTGAATAAAGTCAGCCTCAAGCTTGTAAGCACTTATAAAGACATGGATTCTCCCATTTATATTTTAATTAGCTTGTAACTTCTATTCCATGAAAAAAAGAAAAAGGATAATTTTTATTTTACAGTTAACAACATTTTGGCTAATACAACCCATTTCCTGGACTTCAGTAAATTAGAATTCCATAATATTGTCTACCTTAAACCAAAACAAAAAGCAGGAGCCCTGGTGGTACAGTGGTTAAGAGCTTGGCTGCTAACCAAAAGTTCAGCAGTTCAAATCCACCAGCAGCTCTACCTTGCTGTTGTTAGGTGCGTTCTGGCTGTACTTCTTCCAAGACAGATTTGTTCATTCTTCTGGCAGTCCATGATATTTTCAATATTTTTCGCCAACACCAAAATTCAAAGGCATAGATTCTTCTTCAATCTTCCTTATTCATTGTTCAGCTTTCACATGCATATGTTGTTATTGTTGTTAGGTGCTGTCGAGTCGGTTCCGACTCATAGCGACTCTATGTACAACAGAATAAAACATTGCCAAGTCCTGTGCCATGCTCACAATCGTTGTTATGCTTGAGCCCATTGTTGCAGCCACTGTGTCAATCCATCTAATTGAGTGTTTCCTCTTTTTCGCTGACCAAGCATAATGTCCTTCTCCAGGGACTGATCCCTCCTGATAACACGTCCAAACTATGTGAGATGTAATCTTGCCAGCCTTGCTTCTAAGGAGCATTCTGGCGGTACTTCTTCCAAGACAGATTTGTTCGTTCTTCTGGCAGTCTATGGTATATTCAATATTCTTCGCCAACATCACAATTCAAAGGCGTCAATTCATCTTCAGTCTGTCTACCTTATTCATCCTCCAGCCTTCACATGCATGTGAGGCAATTGAAAACACAATGTCTTGGGTCAGGTGCACCTTAGTCCTTAAAGAGACATCTTTGCCCTTTAACACTTTAAAGAGGTCTTTTGCAGCAGACTTGCCCAATGCAATGAGTCATTTGATTTCTTGACTGCTGTTTTCATGGGTAACTGCTGCTTAGACCCATATAATCTGAGCAATGGTTGGTTTCATCCTCATGACTTTTCAAAAACCAAAAGCCTAAGTAGTTGAAGGACTTCCCTTAAGTGAAAAAAATAGCTAGTTAGTTTTACAACTAAAACTATAACCCAGTACAATTGTTTGTTTTTTGCTATCCCAAACTGTTATGTTTTTGCTTTGTGTATTTTATGTGGGATTTGAGATATAGACACCACTCAGCATTCTGAAAGTGAGATATTTTTGTAAAAGTGTCATGTAAGTTGATTTACCAAGGACCCAGCTACTCACAAATAAGTAGAAAAGATGTTTTCACAGTTTTTGTTTATTAAGCATGATCATTCCACTCTGTGAGTCTTTTTTATCTTGCCTTTCTTATAGCTCACGTGGCTATACACTTTGCAATAGCCCCACTTTTGTACAAGTGGAAATAAATTTAACATTCTTCAATATGTTGATTAATAGGTTTTATTAGTGCATTAGCTATAAAATTTTTCAAAGAAAAGAAGCTTTGCTGCCTTTTTTGTGATTTACCAAATAAATGATCCTTCAGCTTTTAAGTAAACATCTGGAAAATAAATTTAGACTCATCTCTGTAAGGAAAATCACCAAAAAATTCCCTTAAACTCAATCTGGCCAGAGAAAATAACTTGATTGAAGAATAATTCCAAAAATCGGGTGCTATTGTAATATTGGTAGTAGTAGTATTAAGGTTTTAACCAAGGACAATCACTGTTTTAAGAGAGACAATGCATAAAAACATCTGGTTCTACTAATCCCTAACTCAGTGACTTTAAGTAAGTTTAAATATTTCTAAGCCCCAGTTTCAGCATTTGCAACAGGGAGGATAAGTAATAGTGCTTACTGTAGAGTGTTGTCAGGTTAAAACATCATAAGGTTTAGTAAAGCAAAAAGAAAGTTTTATTCAGCATATATTCAAAAGGACAAAAGTGGAAAAACAGGCAAGCATGCTGCCAGAGCTAGAATGTCTGCCCGAATCCAAGGAAAAATCACAGAACAGACAAAAGTGGGAAAACAGACAAGCATGCTACCACACCCATGTCTGCCAAGGCCAAAGAATATTACAGAGTAGGCAAGAATGGAAAAACAGGCAAGCATGCTGCCACAGCCATGCCTGCCCGAGTCTAAAAAACACTTACAGAGCCATCAGTATATATTAACATTACAAATGGGCAAAACCATTGAAAGCTTAGCCTTTTCAGATTGGCTAGAAACTGTGATCCTACATTTTGAATTGTCTTTCTTAACAATCATTGGTACAGGTTTCAGTAACGAGAGTCAGGGGGGTCTTCATTGGTCCAACAAATTTCTATTCACTAAATACTAATAGAAGAAGATAAGAATGGAAAGTCTTTTGTGTTGTGTTTGATTGGCTTTATGTGAAAGTTTCCCTAAGCTCCAGCTGGGTCACATTCTCTATGCTCAAGGAGAGGGAATAATAACTCCCATATTATTTCCCAAATCAGTAGGAATGTTGTGACAATCAAATAAGATAATGTGTATAAAGGGCTTATTTCAGTGCATGGCACATAATAAGCATTCATTAAATATCAGTCATGATGATGAGGCTTCAGAAGACTTCTGTTAGCATCTAAACGTAGTATTTAATGGTTATATGAAGCTACCATAACTATTTCTGACTAATCACTTCAGACCAGTTAGTGTTAACAAACGACCACATCAATACATTAACATTAACTGTATACATTGTTTTGGTCTCAAGAAGAGCTTCCTCTGGGTTTAAGTAAAAATGATGAAAGATATCTTCCCTTTGCCAAGTTTGACATGGGAATACAGAATTTAAGCCTACTCAACTGACACAGTCAAGTCAATCAAGGAACCAGTTTACTTTTTTATTATTAAATTGAACAATTAAAGTATTTAAGTTAGGAATGAATGTTGCCACAAACTTTTGCTAATTATTTTTGCTCTGTTTCCTGAACTATAGACAATAGGAATTGTTTTCTTTTTCATACTTGGAATTTGGGTGTTCCATTAGCACATCAGAAACCCTGGAGGTGTAGTGGTTAAGTGCTACGGCTGCTAACCAAAAGGTCAGCAGTTCGAATCCGCCAGGCGTTCCTTGGAAACTCTATGGGGCAGTTCTACTCTGTCCTATAGAGTCGCTGTGAGTTGGAATCCACTCAACAGCAACGGGTTTGTTTTTTGTTTTTTTTTTTTTAATTAGGGCATCATTGCTGAAAGTTACACTAAATCTCCAGATTAGATGTGTTTGTTAGATATGACAGAGCTCAATGGCCTTCTCAGCACAGTATTCCAGATATAATTCTGCCTTCTGTACAACTCTAGGAACCCCAAGCAATGTCTTATTTTATAAGCATGAGCAACACTGTCATCAGAAACAGGACCAATGTTGTGCTCGTTTGTCTTAAATATCTAAAATCTACTCTTTTCTAACCCAAGCCAAACCAAAATAATTTCTTTCTCTTTTTTCACAGGTGGAAAAATCACAAGTGCCCAGTCGACCCTCCACAGTCTATCTACATCCTCATCGTCAGTTACATTGCTCTTGGCATTGATGATCCCTTCAACATCTTGGTGAAAACTGCGGATTTGATTTCTTTCCTTTCCATTAGCTTGATAACAGCAGTGGATAGAGTGTAGTGTAAATGGAGAGACCAGGACCCTGAGATGAGCTTTAAAATTTGGGACTACCCATGGTGCACTTACAGGAGGTTGGGGGGAATGTTACTTATCTATCAGGTTTCTGTTTGGTTTTTGTAAATGGGGAGGACAGTTCTTGGTCCAATAAAAATATGCAGATTGTACGTAATGAATTTTTGTAAGCAAAGGTAATTTCTGTCAAATGTATTCTTTACTTTTTTAATATGTTGGATTTTGATTTTATATCTGATGACTCTGAGTGTGTGCCATCCATTTGTTAAGTAAGTAGTCTCTAGTAGATCTGTTTCAAACACAAATACAAAACTAAAGAATGAAAAGTTTACTTAAGACTCTGAGTCTAGAGTTTTTCATTTTCCCTTCGGATAACCATTCCAGTTTGACAAACCAGTGGGAGATATGAAAAATACTTCGGTTATGGGGTCCATTATAGGATAAGGACACAAAATATTTTCTGGAAAAATACTGTATGACTGAATAGCGAAATAGCAAGATTTGTCAATATGCTATTCTGTATGCATCCCTAGAGCAAGTTATTAGGGTAGGGAATAAGCCATTTACAGTAGTGCAAGGTAAATAGAAAGTGAGTCCAAATGAATTTAAGTGCTATTGTTTTTCATCAGTACTATGTTATTTAGCTGAAAATATAGTAGATGTTTATTTTTAATAACAAAAGATAATTTAAAGTCACACAAAAAAAATATGATTACTAAAAACTGCCAACACTGACATGCTGCCACGGTGCTAACTTGAAAATGAAATGAATGTGGGACAGAGCTGCTCCGTTTTTCCACTCCTGTCAAAACAGATGCTGAATTAGGTCCAAGGTTTTCTTTTAATTGCAAATAATTTTAAGAACAATAAAAATTTGTAGTGCAAGTAAATATATATATATACATAGGCTGTGGATTAAAATGGTTCACGCATGACAAATCTTTATTTTTTAAAACCAGTCCCTGTATCACCACTCACAAAATCTTACCAACTATTAAAATGAAGACGACCTCTTGGAAAATTTTTTTAAGTAAACTGTGGAAACATGGCTTCAGCACAGAGGCTTAGCTAGTCTAGCCAGCTGTGCACTACTTGATTCTCTGGCTTGAGAGGTGATCCCCATGTACTATTTTGGGGAGTCAACTTGACCCTAAGAGATCCTAAGTAGTTGTTGGAAAGCAAGGTGAAAGTTTCTATGTGATGATACATTATGACAGTTTTAGCAAAAATGGAGAACTTCCCAAAATTGGCCTTACACCTAGGAAGATGCCTGAAAGGAATGGTTATTGCAAAAAAAAACATATGCCAGAAAACGGCCTGGTGAAACTGAAGTTTTCCAGTTAATGCTAATATAAGAACAAAAAGTAGTTTTGTTTTGTTTTATTTTTCTTTTATATAGTCTAAACTTGTTAGTTCTGTTTGTATCTTTAACAACAAGGAAAATTAAGTGAAACTGAGATCAAACTGCTGGCTCTAGAGGTTACTTACTCACTGTAGAATAAGAGAAGGGATAGAAGCTTCTGTTCGGAACATCCTAAAAGATGGCTTCAGAAACACAACATAACTATTTATGTTAGTTACTGATTCTCTTTGGGGAAATTAAGTCCATGACACCTGTAAACAAGTAAAAAGTGATTTAAAAGACTATTTTAGTTGTCAGATTGTTAAAGTACTATTCTGGCAAATATTTGAGCCTGTAAATAATAACAACCAGTTGGCCTTTCTTGACCATCTCCATTGGAGTGGCAGAGGCTGGACTTTGTAGAAAGAGGGATGGTAACTGTTTGGCTGGAAAAAACAGGAGTTCTCTCCAAGTATGGTGTGGCTTACAGGAGCAAATTGTGCATCTGAAGAAAAAAAATGCAGCACGAACATAAACGAATGAGCAATAATCTTTATTTCATATTTGATGAATCAAACTATTTTCTTTAGGTCCCTAGTGTTATATACCAGACTTAGTAAAGGACTTTAAAGATCAAGTTATTACTAATACTCTTATAAAACACACCCCAGTAAAATATAATGTTAACACATGGCAAACTCAAATCAACCAATGTTTCCAACTAGTTGATGGATGGTACTTATCTGACAGAATATTTGCAAATAGAATGTCTGACGTTGTATTCTTACAAGAATCAGAGATATAGGATGTATTATTCAACATGCACAGAATACGTATTTTGCATCTTAAACCTATTTTAAAAACAGGTTTTAAATGTTTGTGTACTTATGTATTACTTTGTTACTTTGTAGAAAACAGAACAACGTTCCTTATCAAGGTACATTATTATTCAACTGCCGTACTGACTGAGCTTTTTCCTGGATGGGTTACACACAGTCTTAAGTCACAAAAGAGACTGTATTTTTGTATGATGTCAGTTGAACTGTTTAAAAAACAATTTCCTCGGAATTAGAAACTTCATGACAGCAAATGTTTTGCATACCAAAATGAAGATACTGTGGGCCCCATGTCAAACTGTTAAATATGTTGTATACAATCTGTATATATACTATATATAATGGTATATACCATGTGGAAGGCACAGTCAGATAATAGTTCTGTGTACTGTTCTTGTAACATTAGATCTTTTTAATAAACAATTCTCTTTTTATTGACTTTTATCTTCTCTCCTGTCAACTACATGAATGGCATTATTTATTTAATGCGGGCCACAGAATGTTCATGATGCTTATAGCATTTTCATGCTGAAATATCATTATGTTAGTACTCTGTATGCTATTATCATTTTAGGTTCAAAAATCTCCATAATGTCTATGGTAGTTCTTGGAAATTGGAAGCTATATCATAGAAAGAAAAAACAACAACGAGCAAAGAAGTAAGTAGAGATAGGATAAATTCAGTTAGGCTCACGATTTTCTTCACAAGAAAGGAGACCTCATTAAATGAGTTTTGCGAAGAGTTTGTTTAGTGCATACCTCTGCTTTGTTTAGAAACGTATTTCTAATCTATTCCAGGTACAAATCTCAGTTCTTCACTTTTAGCACCTCAGCACCATGTGCGCATTTCTTTTATAGCAGCATCCCATTATATCACAAAGATTTATTTAGCAATGTTTCTCCTGCACTATCTGAGCTATGAGGTACTTCAGGGTAGACTGTATTCTACTCATGGAGCGATTTCTCTCACCACTGCCTAGGACAGCTCCTAGCACACAGCAAGTGAGCAATAAATTGGATTTCATTTAATATTGGCCTTAAAATTTCCTTTAAAACTGGTTTCCCAAACCTGACGATCATCCAAATCACCAGGAAACCCAAATTTTAGAATTCTGATTCAGTAGATCTGAAACTAGGGAATTCTTATTTTCAAAATCCCCTGATGATTCAACTCTACTGATGGGAATCCGGTAAAATACATACATAATTTTACTAGAATATATAGTAAACTTATGTGTGCATTTACTCTTTGCCCTGGCAATCTTACTTCTCGGAATCTATCCCAAAGATAGACTAGAAAAACTATGCAACATTAAGGAAGTAAAGTAAGATGTAAAACAGTTAATATAATATACTCTCGTCTGTGTACGAAGTGGGAAAAATACCAATATACGTGCATACTTGCTAGTATTTTCAAAAATAAATAATGAGAAAAATAAACTAAAGACTACTAAACATGATTACCTATCGAGGAGGGAGAGAATGGGATATGGGAACAAACATGGAAGGAAGAGCTTTCTGAATGTACTTTATTTCATAGTTTTGACTTTGAAATTATAGAAATGTTTCACATTATTTTAAAAAATTAAACCCCCCCCCCAAAAAAAACAAAAACAAATGAACTGAACTATACTAACTATATATCAATCAAGTGGTTGATAAGGTAAAGTTTTTCTAGTTTTTTTTTTTTCTTTCTAGAAGACTGATAACCACATAGATAAGTATTTAAAGTCAGTATTTTGACAGTAAGGGGGTCTGGTGGCACAATGGTTAAGCACTTGGTTGCTAACCAATAGGTGGCCGGGTCGAACCCACCAGCAGCTCTGTGGAAGAAAGATGTGGCAGTCTGCTTCCATAATTACAGCCTTGGAAACCTTATGGGGCAGCTCTACTCTGTCCTATAGGGTCTCTATGAGTCGGAATTGACTTGATGGCAGTGGGTTTCTTTTGACAGTATACTCCTAGTGGGACATATATCCAAAGAACAAAAACAACAACAAAAAATAAACTATATTCGTTGGTTGCCTTGTTGGTAGCATAACTGGTATTATTGTTTTTTAATTGTGTAAGTATATAAATATAAATATTAAAAGTATGGAAAAGTGCAAATTTCAGGATAAAAGAGACAAAATTTTTTTTTTTTTTATTGTACTTCGGATGAAGTTTTACAGAACAAATAGTTTCTCGTTAAACAGTTAGTACACATATGGTTTTATGACAATGGTTAACAACCCCACAACATGTCAACACTGTCCCTTCTCAACCTTGGGTTCCCTATCACCAGCTTTCCTGTCCCCTCCTGCCTTCTAGTCCTTGTCCCTGGACTGTTTTGCCCCATTGGTCTCGTTTTGTTTTATGAGGCTATCTAATCTTTGGCTGAACGGTGAACCTCAGGAGTGACTTCATTACTGAGCTAAAAGGGTGTCCGGGGGGCCATACTCTCAGGGTTTCTCCAGTCTCTGTCAGGCCAGTAAATCTGGTCTTTTTTTGTGAGTTAGAATTTTGTTCTACATTTTTCTCCAGCTCTGTCTGGGGCCCTCTGTTGTGATCCCTG